GCAGCATAAAAAAGAAGGCTTCTCTTACCCTTTGAGACAGCATGGACGGGACCTGGAGAGTATTATACTATGTGAAATAAGCCAGTCAGAGGAAGACAAGTATCAGATGATCTCACTCATATGTGGAATCTTATGAACAAAATAAACAAAATAGATCCAGAGACATAAAAGCATGCAACAGACTATCAAATCTCATAGGGAAGGCGGGGGTGGGTGGGTGGGAGGGAAGAGATCAACCAAAGAACTTGTATGCATACATGCATAACCCATGGACATTGACAATAGGGTGGTGAAGGCCTGGGGTGGGGGATAGGGATGGGCTAGAAGGGGTCAATGAGGGAAAAAGGGGGACATGTGTAATACTTTCAATGATAAAGATTTTAAAACATATAAAAAATAAAAGGCACTTCCTCCTTGTTTCCCTTGTGGAGTACTCATTCTGGGGAAAGCCAACCACCATGTCTGTCATGAGGCAGTGAAAGGGAGAGGTCCACATGGCAACAGCCAGAACGAGCTCTCCAGGCGTGTGCGTGAGCCACTGTAGCGGGGATGCTCCGGCACCAGAGACCTCCAGACAACTGCATCCCGAGCTGACAGTGGGACTGCAGCCTCCCGCGAGACTTTATCCCAGAATCACACACCTTGTCCACTCCCAGGCTCCCACAGGAACTGTGTGAGAGACAATAAAAGTTTGTTGTTTTAAATCACTAGATTTAGGTAATATGTTTTCAGTCATAGATAATATACGTGGTGTCATTTCCTGATGGTCTGCAATTTGGTAAACAAAAAAGATAAAGGATCCAAGAATATCCCCGCTGGTCTCAAAACACTGATAATTTGGGGGCAAACAGATGCTCATTGGTTGACTTTTCCCTTTGTTCTCCCCATTTGTCATGTGTGATAATGTTGGTTGTGGGGACCCACGGGTAAAAGGATCCTTCGGTGTTGGTGGGACAGTTGACAAAGTATGATTTTCCTGGGGTAGCTTTTCTCTTAGCAGCGATTGGCTTTGTGAAGATGCTTGACATTTAAAGGACAAGTCCTGTAGATGAGGCAGCATGAGGAAGAAGAAAGAACTCCAGACTAAAGTTTCAAATTCTTGACTCTACCACCATGATTTCTGTGATCATGGGTAAACCATTTCACTGCTTTGGAACTCAGCTGCCCTCAAGGACCGCACAGTCGGTCTGAGGACAGATTCTCAAGCAACTAACTACCACGAGGCGGAATGAGATGCGTGCTGTAATAGACGCCTAAATAACGCCAGTCGGGGGTGTTCAAGGAAGGAGCGGTTCATTCTAATCTCGGAGATGAGGACGGGTTTTTCCAGAGAATCTCCATTTGCACTGATTTTTGAGAAACAGTCGAAGTGGATAAAGAGAAGATGGAAAGACATAACCAGCGGAGGGAACAGCATGAACAAAGGCAAAGAGACAGGAAAGTAGGGTATCCGTATGGGATGATGTGGGAGAAGGACGATGTGCGGAATGGACTGTGGAGGGGCTTCATGGTGGGGTCGGAGCTGAAAGACAGGCCAGGGCCAGCCCAAGCAACGCCTCCTATGCGAGGACAGAGCTGAAATGCTGCTTCTTAGGCAACGAGGAATCACAGATGTTTGAGGAGGGTTGTCCTACAAGCCAACGTGTGTTCCAGCATGAAGAACAGGCAAGAGAAAAGGTGGCGAGCTTGGGCTACTGCAGAATCATCCAGACAGTAGCAGATGAGGACCGTGGACAGACACAGAAGGAAGGTGCTCAGGCCACCCACGGGATGTGGGACCTCCACCAGCACCCTGCATCGGAGCAGCCGTGACAAGCCTGTTTGTAGAGCATCTTGACAAAATCGGCTGCAATTCTCATCTCTTATTTTCTGCTCAAATCACCTTTTTTTCTGTTTTCACTTTCAGTTAAGAGGATTAGTTTGCGGAGAGGGTGTGTGTGTGTGTGTGTGTGTGTGTGTGTGTGTGGTGTATTTTAATCAAGATAAAGCAACAATTAAGTCCCTGGAGCCTGAGTCATTCCCACGGGCACAACCCTCTCCTGAGTGGCACTCAGCTCCAGCCGCCTCCCTCATTTTAAGTCAAACTCCCAGCAGCACATAAAGAGCAAATCCCAGTGTCACGCGCCTCTAAGCCTGTCAGCAGTGCTCTGTGGCTGTGTTCTGGCTGGTGTGCTTCCAGGGAAGAGGCTGAGCTTCCTAGCAGAACACTGTGGTGAGTAATGAGTCCTAAGGAAAACCCTGAGAGCAGATTTCTTGGGAGCTGTGAGTGAGGCGAAGGGCAAGGCGGAAGTAGTGATGGAAAGTGTTTGTATAACCCGCCTGTCCCCTCTCACCCCGACACACACCGAGGTTTCTCTTTCATGATTGTTTTAGCCTCTTTCTCCCTCCCAACCACCGAGCACTCAATTCTTGGAGGGAAAATTAACATTCATTATGCAATTTATCTCTCTCCTTTTAATCCAGAGTGTCTGTCTCCAAGGTCCCTTCCTCAATAATTAATGTTTGTTCTCATTTCCCATTCTCCAGAGCATCTATTCTGGAACTGGAGGGTCAACAATTAACACTAATTATGGCTTTTCCCTCTCTCCAGTGTTGGTTCTCAGAATCCCAAGCCGCCACACTGAGCCTAAGTGTGTGTGTGCGTGTGGCTGTGTGTGTGTGTGTGTGTGTGTGCACACCAAGGTGGGAAAGCAACAAAGAGCAGCTTTTCCAAGCCCCACCTCACTGTAGCAAACCAATAACCCAGACATTCATTTCCGGCAGCCTCTCTAGTATGGTTATTACCAGTAATGAGACAACAAAGCATAAATACATACGTACATGTGTTTGGAAATTAGTTTTAGTAGGTATTAGATGGATGATCTAGAAATCTTTTGCAGAAATCTATGATTTCCTGGACCTTTTCCTCCCTATTGCTATCTCCTTAATATCTCACACCTCTCTCTCTCTTTTTCTCTCTCTTTCACACACACACACACACACACACACACACACACAATTTCCTACTGAAAACCATTCTTTCATTTCCCATCCACTCATCTGACCCCTTTGCTATCTATCCCCCCTCCCCAACTTAACTGTCTTTCTCTGGTCTGACATCCCAATCCACCTGGGCCATTAAAACGGCATTGTTTTAATTAATTTTCATGTGACTGACAAGGACAGCTAGGAGAATAATTCTCACCCCTGGTGACTCTAAGAGATCACACACAAAAATTCATCAGGCCTGTGCAACAGCCTGTCTGTCTCTTTGGCTATAATCAGATGGGCTAGAATCCCTCACATCTCCCCGGCCCAACCCTTGTATTCACACTACAGCTGGAGGCTGGGCGCCTCACATGCGCCTGCGTCTGTCATCCCACCATTGCTGTGTGCACAGGGCTCTGCGACACATCTGCTGTGCACATCTGGGCACCTCCGCACAGCCTGTGTCAAGCGGTAACTGTTTCATGCTCTTGCTCTGTCAAGAGTTCCCCTCTCAGAAATTTGGCATCATGGTCCTGGCAGGGTTTCTCCCTTAAACATCTTAAATTAAAATATTACTTCCTTCAATGCTTTTAAGCCCTAAGTCAACCTTCTCTCCATGATAGCATCTAGGAATTTTCAAAGCCATCCCATTCATTACGAGGCTTAAGCATCAGGGCATCCATTTTGTGTTTTCCCCTGTCTTGGGGTAAGGAAAATAGCTTTTTTCAAGACTTTTTCACTCTTTAGGTAAAACTCTTCTTGTTTTTCAGCCTATGAATCTGTCAGTTCAAATTTCAGCCATGAAAATGAGGGGTCTCGTATTCAACATCTCCTATAAGTTTAGATTTTCCTCAAAAAGTCACCTGTACTTCTCGTCTATGTCATTTGACTCACGTACATAATATTTCATACCTAGACCTCCAGAAATACACAGCTTCTCCCCCAATATAGCAATACGTGGGAAAGAGGGTTCACTTCATGAGTTACTCAGGGGCAGCCCTGGGTGTGCTGGTCTGAGTGTAAATAGTGGGGGAGAAGAGAAGTCGGGTTGAACCAGTGCTTGTGCTTAGCTGGCCCAGGAAGGAGAATTTTCAGGGATGTCCTGAGGGTTCTGCAGGTCATATGCTGCACAATTATAACAAGATGATATTGTCTCCTAGAATTGTGCACAGCTCAGCTTGCACAACCACAAACTGGGAAACTGAGAGAAAGACTCTCAGGCTTGGACTTTAAATGGAGGACTGAGCCCTGGCTGGTTTTGCTCAGTGGATAGAGCGTTGGCCTGTGGATTGAAGGGTCCCGGTTCCATTCTGGTCAAGTGCACATGCCTGGGTTGTGGGCTCGATCCCCAGTGGGGGGCGTGCAAGAGGCAGCCGATCAATGATTCTCAATCATCATTGATGTTTCTATCTCTCTCTCCCTCTCTCCCTTCCTCTCTGAAGTCAATTTAAAAAAAAATGGAGGATGGAGGCCAGTCCTGCCTCTTCCAAGCTTCCTTTCATATTGTGTTTCCCCCATAGAGAACTAAGCAAACACTAAGAGTACAGGTTCACTTTGTAGCTCAACCTCCACCCACAGCCATTGCTGCTTCTGCTGCAGACCAGCAGGAAAGGATGATTATGTAGAGACTTTCTCTCCTAAAAATAGTTTTTGATTAATAGCAAAATGTGTGTGGTCTTCCTTACTGCTTATTTTTGGGACGGGCAGCAATGAATCCTGAGTGAGGGACCTGCTAAAGGAACAGGAAGCCAGGCCATAGATGGAGGGCCGGAGCCAGGCTGAGTGAAGGGAACTGTTTCTGCCAGAGACTGCAAAACTAGAAGGGAAAAAAAGGCACAGTCATATGCTTGCCAATCTCAAAATCTGTCAGCAGAGAAATGCTCGGATGCCTGGTATTCCATATTACCCTTCCGGCCGTTCTCCTTGGGTGGAGAGGCTGACCATCGTGGGAAGAGCTTCCGTGTCAGTTCTGCTCACTCTCGCCCATTGGGTCAAAGCAGCTCTTAAATAGAAGCCTTCAGTAAAGGAGGGGTCGGAGGAGGAAGAGAAGGAGGCGATCATGATGATAGCTACCATTGTTGTCTATCTTTGATAGGCCAATCATTGTACTGAGTGCTTTACACTTATTATTTCTCTTCATCCTCACAGCAATGATGTAAGATAAATTCTATTATCTTTATTTTTTATCTAGGACCATGCAGCTCAGAGAGGTTACATGACTTGCCCAAAATCACACAGCTAAGTGGTGAAGCTGAGATTTGAATCTTAGGAAGCTGGGTTTTTTTTTAACCACTGCTCAGGGTTAGTGGTGATGTCAGCTACACAGGCACATTCCCACCTGACAACATGTGAGACGTTAGGAAGTTCCTGACTTAAAAATGACCCGTACAAACAAACGGCTTCTGTTGTTCTTTACTCCAGCCAATTCCCCTTACCAGCATCAGACCCCCTTGTGTGGATGACACTGAAAATGATTTGCAACTTTTAAAGATGTGGGGGAAGGAGATAAGCTGAAAAAAATAAATTGTTCAGGAGAACCAAACTCTTGAAACAGATTTTCCAGCAAGATAGGCCTGTTTACAGAGTAGCTCTCCAGACCAAAAATATTCTTCCTAATATGACCAAAATGTTATAACTTCACTTCTACTGTTCTACGATTTAAATCTCACTAGTAATAGACTTATTTTGGATTCAGAAGTATTCTCTTAAAGTACTGATACTGAAAAGCTAATAGTCATTCACACTTTAGTAAAATTTTATTTACTTGCAACCTAGATGAGAACTGCTGTGCTGAGGGACTACAATTTCTGATAGGGGTGGAAACAGAGGTGGGTAATTTTAGGGTAAGTAGGGTTTTAAGGGTTGAAACGTGCCTGATTGGTACAGTGCCCCAGAGGGCTTGGATTAATAGGGAATATTAGCTGTACAGGGAAGGAGGCAGAAGAAGGAGAAAAGTATAGAAAGGGAAATGGTAGAGTGCCAAAGACAAACTATTTCAGAATTGCCCCATAACAAGCTCTATGTCCAGGGAAAGGAAAGAAAACTTACTCCTTCTCTTCTCTATTCCTAGTCACTAAAAGACCTTAATTAGGCTAATTCAAATCTTGTTCTCATTTCCAATTGTTTGAAAATACTGTTCCCTCTGCCTGAAGCACAATTTCTCATATCCTCCTAACACCCGACATATTTTTAAATTGTGGTAACATAGACATAACATAAAATTTGCCAACTTAACCATTTTTTAAGGGTAAAGTAGTGCTAAGTACATTCACACTGTTATGCAACCAATCTCTAGAACTCTTTTCATCTTGCAAAACTGAAACTGTATACCCATGAAATAACTCCCCATTCTCCCCCAGCCCCCAGCCCCCAACAACCACCATTCTACTTTTCGCTATCCCCCAACTGTTACCCCTTTCCCTGGTTAACTCTTACTCACCATTCAGTTCCCAATTTCGTTCTCAAGTCGACCTCCCTCCAGGCAGTTTTCCTGTGCCTCCCACCCAATCCTCTCCACCGACTGAGTGGCAGGCCTCTTCCACCCGCTCTCACTGCACCCTGTGCGTGGCCCATCACAGCATCTCTCTTACAGAATGGTCTACTTTCTAGGCTTTTCTCTCCATTAGACTGCAAGCTTTTTAAGGACAGGGACCCACCAGTACCACGGGAACCTGGCAGAATGCTGCTGGCACACACAAACTATAGGTGTTTTAGAGTTCAGCTATAATACGGGTTAAACTGGTTTTTTGTTTTTTAAGAATGAGCTGGGAGACTCACCACCAAGCAGAACATAGTCTTTGCAGGAAAATGCATTCCAGTAGGCTGCCCTTATAAGCACAGAGTACTTCTTTCAGGGCTTAGAATGTAGAAAACGTATTTGTCCCCTTGATTTGCTCAACGACCTTAAAGAAAAACTCTTATATCTCTTTGTGTTTAACATCCCCCATTTGTTTTTTAGGAAAATGGATATAACACTACTCTGAAAATAATATCCCCTGGAATTGAGTTCAAAGAGCAATTTAACAAAAAGTTGTGAAAACTCTATAGGTGATTCCAGTGACTGGAATCACCTATAGAGTTTTCACAACTTTTGTTTCCTTATTGGTCATTTTGTTTTAATAAACAGTTTCAGATAAAAAAAGATAGGATTCTAAAAAATTATATAAATGGTGGACATTGATTATTTGTTGACTTGAAGATCGGTTTCAAATAATTGTAAAAGACTTCAGAAGTCAGGGACACATGAAATTTGTCATTTTGCAGAAGCAAGAAGTCAAATCCTAGATATCATGAAGGTGGGAGACAGAAGACCATCACTAAACTAGGGAGTGTACCCACCCAACCGCCCAGCACCCACATCTCAGTGTTGTGGTCTATATTCATTGTAACATCTGCAATAGCTCATGTTACATTATTTTTTTTAAAAGAAGAACACTGATTTATATATTTTTTATCATTTTTTCTTTTTTTATATATTTTTATTGATTTCAGAGAGAGGGAGAGATAGAAACATCAATGATGAGAGAGAATCATTGATCAGCTACCTCCTGAACGCCCCCTACTGGGATTGAGCCTGCAACCGAGGTATGTGCCCTTGACCAGAATCGAACCCGTGATCCTTCAGTCCACAGGCCTCGCTCTATCCACTGAGCAAAACTGGCTAGGGCTATTGTTTTTGCTTAGTGGCCCTTAAAAGAAGGCCAATTGCTGGGGCTGGTGATGGAAGTAAGAGAAAGTGAAGTGGGTTTAACAATTTGATGAGTCTCTGACCCCCAAAAATGGTTTTATAAATTACTCTAATCCTTTGTTTATAGATTCATTTATTTATAGACTCATCAAGAGTCTAAAGAGGTCCCCTTCTTTTTTCATTTCTACTTTAGTTTTATTGGGAATATGATATACAAAGGCTATTCACAAATCTAAGGATTCCTGAAATTCTCGGAATGTGTCCCTCCCAAAGCAGTCAAGATCTGCGGCTCACTTAATGTATGAGATGCACGTGGCATCAGGGCCTTCCTCAAGCAATGAAGTAGGACTTGGCACAACACATTTTAAGGCTGATATGTGTGTATGTGTATCATTTATATTTCTCAACCCATAGAAAGGTTTGGTATATTAATTTTTGTTCTGTCAAGTGATCAAAAAATTATGCTTTTCATTAATAATCTATAAATACTGTTTTCTATTTTATCACCCTTCAGATGTTTATCTTCTCATCAAAGAACAAAAAAACATAGAGAAGCATGAGGCTTTTCCTCAGGATTTTTTCTCCTCCTGGTTTCTCTCTTGCTGCTTTCATCCATCTCCCTGTGGCCTAAGCCTTTTCACTTGCTATTGTCTTAGTTCTCTACGATTTGTCATTTGAAAATTAATGAAGACACCAGTATCAGAACATGTCCAATAGAAAGAATTAGCGAGTCTATTTTACAGAGTACCTAAAGATTATTTATTCATTCATTCAATATATACTAATTGACCACCTACTAATGCCAAATACAGTGCTAGGCACAAGAATACAGTTGAGAGACAAAGTCTATGCCTTAAAGTAGTGGAGTGTGCTTAGAGCTTTGAACGAGCACAGGCTACCTCCACCGGGAGGTTGAGAAGTATTTTGGAAGCAGAGGACACTTAGGCTGAGTTTCTAAGGATATCTGTAGGGAGCGGCCAAGTGGAAAGAAGAAAGGAGGCTCCAGGGAAAGAGGCCATATGAAGGCTAGAAAAAATGACACCATGGGAGAAGTGAGAGCAGCTTGTAATGCCTGGACCCCAGGGCACACGTAGGGGAGGAAGTGGTGAGAAACTCAGCTAAAGGGGTAAGCAAGAGCTAAATTATAAAGGGCCATAGCCAGCAACTAAGGAATTTATCCCAATTTACACAGAAATTGACATAACCAAATTTTTATTTCAGAGAAATGATTCTCCCAGCTATGTAAAGAATGGATTGAAGGGGGAAAGACTAGAGGCTGGGAGACCGGATGTCTATACTTGTTTGAGAGCACGTGAGCAAGAATATTTTCTGCACCATTAAGGCCACCACATGAATTAAATGGATTAGCCACTTTGTATGTAGTGCTACCTTCAACCTCTTTTTTAATTCCCTTCTTCCATACATTCTTCCACCAGAAGTATCCTTATTAATCTTATGATATATCTTGATTGGAGGATTTCTCATGTAGCTGATTTTTTTTTGTTATTGCTACACAAGTCAAATTTAAATTCCATCATCTAGCTTGCGTTCCATTTGGGGCTTGGTAAACTGCCATGTACCACTGGACCTCTCCATAAAAAATAATTTATGAACTTTTGAGAGAAGTTGGTGTTCCCAAAGCTAAAGCCAGACCCTTGACACTGAGCTAGCCTTGGTCTGCAAAGACATAAGTAAGTAAAAGAACTGTTATTCCAAATTGGAAGAAAAATATTGCTCTTGCATTTATTGCATTTCCATATTTAAATTCAGAATGACTCATATCTTCTAGATCCGTCTAGTTGGCTCCTTTAATAGAGCTCCCTGGGGTATGTCTTTGGCCTGGAGACTTTCTCAGGTCTTGAGCAACTATTTGATATGCCCATCTCACCCTCCTCATCATCCAGGAAGATTTAAAGAGAAAATGTGTAGCATTAGCAAGGTCTTAAATCTTATCCCAAGAACTTGATAATGACAATACCAAAAGGCCATCTTGGGTCTCAGTCTCCTACATTAAACAAGCAGACTTGAGATTTATTATAACACAATAAACACCCTATAGGTCATAGACGTCTTGAGTCATATCATATGAAATAAGTATTTTTAGATAGCAGTCCTAAGGAAAGGCCAGCTGGCCTATATAAAGGGACCAGAATTATCCTTCCTTTTATGGTTTAGTTTATACTGGGAAGAATTTCTTTTTAATAATCTGGAATTTGCCTTTGCATCTTCCATTTTGGACCAAAATAAAAACCATGAAGGTACAAAGGCTGACTTTTAGGCCTCCTCCTATTGGTTTCTGCTGTAAGTCCATGTGCAAAGCTCTGAGAAGGCCAAGTTGCTCCCTGAGGTCCGTTTGGCAATGAATAGATCCCTCCTCAATGATGAACCACCGCAAGTGTGGGCGAAGTTCCATGACAGCAGGCTAATGATCAAAGGCTACTCATGCCTGTGTGGGAAAAGGCCCTAAACAGACTTAAAGAGGCTCCTGCCAGCACCTCCAAAAGCTACTGCCCTTGTGACCACAGAATGTTGGGCCACTTTGGAGCCTTTAGGTCTGACATTGTTTCCCAAGCCCTGACAGCATCTATGGAGGAGTCAGGTGGCCCACGTTGCCTGATAAGGTGACTCTTTGGAGTTCAGTTTCCACTCTGATGCCAGGTGGGACCCGCCAGAGTAAATATGACTATCTTTCCTTTTTAACTAAAACAGTGAACCACAACTTGGCAATTAAACATAGTCAACATAGGTTTAAGTAGGAGGAAATTTTAAGGCATCTTATTCCAGACTAGAATCAGATGCTCTTTCCTGCTATTCAAGTCTTGAGTGTTTGGTGAAGGATCCCATGACTTGAAGGCAGAGGAGGCTTGGGATGGGACCCCATGTAGTAAGGGTCATCTCTGAGCTGCCGGTTATCTGGTGGTAAGGCTATCTCCTTGCTAAAAGCCTGTGGTTAGATTAATGCGCGCATTTGAAAATCCGCTCTGGCCTGATGGTGGGCAGCCAGGGAAGGAAAGTGTTTTCTGTTTATCTCTTTAGTGGCAGAAATGTTCATCACAGAAAGACCGCGAGTTCCCAGTTTCAGGCCGGCCTGGAAGCTGTGCCACCCGTATCTGTGATTGTTCACATCGCCTCCGGGATGATGAAAAAGAGCCGGGTCTGTGTTCACAGCCAGTTGTCTGCGTTGGTCAATGAGTTCGTTTCTTCGGCCTGATAACAGGGGTAGATCTCCCCACATTGTTCAGAGAGAAAGCGTTACCACCCCCATTGCTCTATCTCCCAGGAATGCAGTGTGAGTTGCGTCTCCTCCTCGACAGCTTAGACCTCAGTAAATTATCAGGGTCTTGACCCACGAGATGGAGAAGTCTTAAGCGATTTTTCAGCCTCCTATCTAAAAATGTGTTTACATTTCTTGAACTCTGGCTGACTGATTCATTCTCCTGGTGTTGCAAGAACTTTCCTTATGCGTTAGAATTTATAAGTTTCATTTCTAAGAGACCCATGGTTCCTTTCAAGCCACAGTGAAATGAACCTCATCGCAACACGATTCTGCTGGGCTGGATTTGTCCAGGGGCCAAGCAGCTGGGATGTGGCAAGCTCCAGTGAGGCTAACAGGAGGCAGTGCGATGTGGAAGGGAAAGTACAAGATGCTAAATCAGGAGATCCGGTCTTGGGCTATTTCAAGGGATGGCCCTGAGCCAATCCCAGGAAACCACTCTCTGGGCCTCAGTTTCCCCAGCTGTTTTCAATTTTTAAACGTTTTAAATCTGTACAGAAGCCATTTTCAAACGAGACGGAAGAGGACAGCTGAGAAACAACAGAAAAGGAAAGGTCAGCCCACAAGGCATGCCTGGAGGCTTCAGGTCAAGGAGACAAAGAAGCAGAGTCACATGTGGCCACAGGCTCTTAAAAGAGCTACTTGCGAGCAGCAAGCATGGAAAGAACTTTCTGTTGGACACTCGTCCCACACAAGAGGCTAAACTCCTTTGACAGAGGAGCCATGCGCCTGGCTAAATTTGTTCCTCAAATAAACATTCCTTTATAAACATTGAATTTACTTTCTAAGAGGAAGAAAGAAAAACAAAATAAGCCCTATCCCTCTGCTGCTTGGGGTTTCCATCAGGCAGTCTTGGGCTCGAAGCCTCATTGGTGCCCAGCCAGTGGTTGCCCTATGAGCCAGGAGGTCCTGGTTCAATACTCCATCGGGACGCATGCCTGGGTTGCGGGCTCGATCCCCAATAGGGGGCGTGCGTGAGGCAATCGATCAATGATTCTCTCTCATGATTGATGTTTCTCTCTCTCTCTCCCTCTCCCTTCCTCTCTGAAATCAATAAAAATACATTTTTTAAAAACACCTCACTAGTTATACAGCCTTGAGGCGATGACTTTACCTTCCGAGCCTCAGTTTCCACACCTGTAGGGAGCAGAGATAGCACAACCGCGGAGGAGAGGCGTGTGGATGACACGGCAACTCCATGTCTGTGTCTGTGGGGCGCCTGCTCCTTGGGGGGCCCCACTGTGGCATCACGCCCCCTCCTCTCCTGTTGCCCCTCCACACTGTGAGGGGAAAGGGAAAGGGGACAGCTCTGATCTCTCAATCTGGAAGGTTGCAGAAGCATTTTCCTGCTTCTGTGAAGTGCTATCATACAAAATTCATATTCGGCAGCATCAGCAGATTTTTCCCATCAATATTTCCTTTTTAATTTCAGCTTTATCTGAGTCTTAGTAGCACAAAGAATTTAATTTTTTTTCTTTTAAAGATCAACCAAGACAAGAAAATAGAAATTTGAATATGTCTTAATGCTATATGTAACTGGTGTTTAGACTGCCCATAGAGGTTATGGGTATTATTTGTTGAGTAAATATGAATGCCATCTGCGTAGGTATGTGTGTTTATAATCTTGCACATATGAACTAGGTGTGCGTGTATATGGTATGTATAAAAATTCATGAGACCTACATCTGACAACTTGGATTCTTTTCTAATTTCTACCACAGCAAACACTGAATTTGGAACCGATCTTCTCATGGATCTTAATAAAACCTCACCTTTGACCGAAAAGCCAGAGAAGCAGGTACAGTATTGATTTTATTTATTTATTTATTTATTTATGATACATTTTTGTTGTTTTCAGAGAGGCAGGGAGAGGGAAAGAGACAAAGAAACATCAATGGTGAGAGAATCATTGATTGGCTGCCTCCTGCATGCTCTCGACTGGAGATCGAGCCCACAACCTGGGCATGTGCCCTTGACTGGAACTGAACCCAGGACCCTTCAGTCCGTAGGCCGATGCTCTAACCACTGAGCAGCCGGCTAGGGCTACAGTATTGATTTTAAATGAGCAGGAGATGGGGAGTCAGAACGTTTGGGTTCTTGTCCTGGCTTGCTGTGTGACCCTAAATGAGATTCTTCCCCTCTCTGGGCCTCATCTGCCTCATCAATAAAATGAGACAAATGAACTATAAAATCCCGGAGGTTCCTTCACTCACAGACCGGGAATGTTTTGTCTGGCTCTTCGTGTTCATGAATAAGCTGAATGGGCTTTTCCCTCATTTCTGCAACATCAAAAAGGGAACAAAGAACAAAGAAAGGTACCATCCATTGAGGCTGGAAGCACTAAGACTTCATGGCAATGGGCCTGTTTTTTCCACTCCAATTCTCATTCCTAATGTGTGTGGAGGAGGGGGGGGGGAGGGTGCGGGGATAGAGCTATCAAGAAAAAAAACACAAGGATACCTTAAAGAAAGGAGAAAAAGGCTGCATCCGGGTGGGTTAGGAATATCAGTGATTCAAAGGCACATGTTCACAAATATTTGCAATTTTGTTCCTTCATTTGAAGCTTTGAGGCTGGAACTGTCTTCCAACTCTCTGGAGAGACAACTCAGGGGAATTCCTGCGCTGCTCAGGGTTCCCAGACCCTGAAGCAGGAGCAGCCCAGCTCCCGCCTCTCAGGTCGGTCCCTGGTGTGACAGCCGAGGAGCAAGGGTGCTTGATCTCTCTTCTCTCTTATCTCCCACTTCCTGCCCCAGCCCGACTTCCACCTCTTCCCTCACACTCATTAAAAAACAATCTTAAATATACATTTTAATAGATTTTTTTAAAATCTGATAAAAGTCGTTTTTGTTTTCATCTGTGCGACTAGCTGGCTCTGTGGAAAGACCCGAACTTTCCCTGCCAGACACCCAGGCCTGGATCAGGCCTCCGCTGAGCCATCCCTTCCCGCCACCAACGTTTGCTTTTTTTTTTTTTTACATTCCCACTTTGAAGACACACTTTATACGAGATCGAGAAGCTTTTCTAAGAGAGTCTATAACTATGGAAAAGATAATATGCTATATATTTCCTTAAAATCTATTTTTATTGATTTCAGAGCAGAAGGGAGAGGGAGAGAGAGATAGAAACATCAGTGATGAGAGAGAATCATTGATCAGCTGCCTCCTGCACGCCCCCTACTGGAGATCGAGCCCAGAACCCAGGCATGTGCCCTTGACCAGAATCAAACCTGGGACCCTTCAGTCCGCAGGCCAATGCTCTATCCACTGAGCCAAACTGGCTAAGGCCATATGCTCTGTTTTGGTAATTCCACAACTCCAAAGGCCCTGCAAATACCTCACACACCCTAAACACGCTCCACATTCACCCAGCCCCGTGGCTGTGTTTCAGGAGAATTGACATCACCTGCCATGAAAAAAAGGGGCTCAGTCGTGTCAAATTAAGTCCTAGACTGAACTGTTAACCTCGCAGTCAGAGGAACACCAGGCCGAGGGTCTGACACTCTAACCCTGGGGTCGCCCGTGAGGCTGTGGCAAAACCAGCTGCTCTGAGAACTTCACATGCTCCCTTCGTGAAAAGAGGGGGGTCGTCCCCCCCAGAGCCAATTGCCTTCTTTCCTCTAGCAGCAGCCCCCAAAAGGAGAACCACTTAAGGAAAAGTCTAGGGAGCCCCACCAGCCCTTAAACACAGAGAAAATGGAGGTGGAGTGGGGGTGGTACCCTCCTTGCCGACCCCCCCTTACTTCTTGAGGCTAATGGCCCTTTATTAGATTAATCACTGACTTCGATTTTAACTACTTCCTCAGCCTACTCCATGTAAATGACTAATTTCGAGTTACTATAAAGCATCTGGAAAGGATTTAGAAACAAATTTCTGCCCAGCAGATTTCAGTTACGTACCTTGATGGATTCCTCTCGCTGTCGCCTTCCACTCTGAAGCAGGCTAGGATATCACACAAAATTGATCTTTATCAGCATCAGCAGTTCCTGCTCTTCCTTCCTGTCCGCGAATTCCCCACTGACTCATCCTCTCCCTCCCTCGCTGGGGTCTTCCCATATTAGGAGTTCAGTCACATAAAATGCTTTTACATTTTTATCCCGGCGCTGGCTGCCAGGGGAGCAAAAACCCCAAAGGTGGGATGCTTTGGCAGCCCCGCGCTTTAGGGAGAAGTCACAGACCCAGAATTGGGAGATAACTTCTGAGGGGTGGGTAAGAGAGGGAGCCAGCGGGTGCTTGGCAGACGTGACTGGGTTCATGGATGCACCCGGTTCCGGAGGCTGCCTATGGATGCCCCCTACTGGCTGGATTTATTTTTTTATATATATATTTTTTTATTGATTTCAGAGAGGAAGGGAAAGGGAGAAAGAGGTAGAAACATCAAGGATGAGAGATAATCATCGATCGGCTGCCTCCTGGATGCCCCACACTGGGGATGAGCCCGCAACCTGGCATGTGCCCTGATCGGGAATCGAACCGTGACCTCCTGGTTCACTGGTCGATGCTCAACCACTGAGCCACGCTGGCCGGGCGGTACTGCCTGGATTTAAACGCCTCTGCTGTGCGTTTCCTGAGCGCGGTCTGCGCTGGGAAGGGGGCAGGAAAATCTGGGACTCCTGCCTCCAATACACAGGATGGCAAATCGTGGGCCTAGCTCCTGAGACACCCCTCCACACCTGGTGACGGACCAGGGCCTCGGAGGCGCATCCATAAATAGAAATGAGAGGAGCAACTGACATCAACCACTTCCTAGGCGTTGGAGGAGGGGGTTCAGTCGGGGGGGGCGGGGCGGAGGGGGCAGAAAACTACAAGGGGAAATGTGGAGATGAAAAGAGCAATGAAAAAAGGAAAGGGAGACAAGCAGACATGTTTCCACTCCAAGCTCCCACTTCCTCTTTCAAATGAACGGCCTCCCCACTGCGAACAGAATCAAGTATTTATAAGGCATTTTTTGCATATTAATAACAGCTGCAGATGGAGCGCTGCCCGTGCTGAGGTCCTGAAGGTATGGCGCCCTTTTTTAATGCGGGTCCTTCCAGCTCCTCACGGAATGTGATCGCCTCCTTCACATGTATTCCCCTTCCTGCCTCGTGGCACCTCCTGAGGCCTTTCATTTGATTAAGAGAAATTTCGTGCCTGGGATACGGTCAGAGACCAGAGCGGTTCCTACCTGGTGGCTGACATCAATCGCCGGCGATGCGGTCCTCTTCCCCAGGGCCTCTCTGTGCAGAGGCTGCAGCGCGGGTGAGGTGACCAGCACCTAAGGAGAGTATTAAAATTGTAAATGAAAATTCTAGGAGGAAACATTAACATATCTATGCTGGGGGAGGGGGGGGAGAAGGATGAAAGTAAAACTTTTTAAGTTTAAAAATAATTGCATTCACTAAAACAGCATTATTATCTATACTCAGTAAAGATCACGTTCAACTTTAAGAGGAAAACATTGAGAACCCGGAAAAATAAGCAAAAGGCAAACAATAATAGTGATCGAAAGCAAGTATGGGAAAATATTCCTCCTGCGTGGTAACTTAAATGCAAATTGAGGCAAACTGGAGATCAATGCTCTATTTGAGATGCGTGTCTCCTCTCGCTTTTTTAAAAGGCAACACCCAGTACTGCCAAGGTTTGGGTAAAACCCGCACACTCCTGGTGGGGTGTAACCTGTTTCAATCCATGTGTAAAGCAAAATGGCAATATCACTTGTGAAAACAGGAAAAAATATTTATAGCCATTGAATCGCTGTTTCTGACTTCTGGGAATTTATCCTAAGGGAATAATTCAGCAGGAAAAAAAGTGAGTGAAGATGTCTATTGCAGCAATATCTATAATAGAGAAAAATGGGAAACAGCCTATAATAGTCCAACATGGGAGAGTTAACTGTGACATATCCCTCTCAGTGAGGGGTCTAACTCAGGCATTAATAAACGATGCTTGTTCCAGCTAGAAATTGTGATTTAATACTAATGGAATGATGCAGGGTTTCTTAACCTCAACACCACTGGCATGTGGGGCCAGTGAGTCTTTGTGGCATGGGTTTTCCTGGACATTGTAGGTTATTGAGCAGCATCCCGAGCCTCTACTCACTAAAGGCCAGTAACACTCTCCCAGTTGTGACCATCCAAAGATGTCTCCAGACCTCGCCACATGTCCCCAGAGGGCAAATCACAGCCAGTTGAGAACTGCCAACGTGACTTTAAAAATGGAAGTCAAAGTGATGTCAACCGTGACTGCTGCAATATGTTTGTAAAAATGTATGTATAGCCCGGCCAGCGTGGCTCAGTGGTTGAGCATAAAGCCATGAACCAGGAGGTTGCTGTTTGATTCCCGGTCAGGGCACATGCCCAGGTTGCAGGCTTGATCCTCGCTCGGTAGGGGGTGTGCAGGAGGCAGCCAATCAATGATTCCCTGTCATCATTGATGTTTCTGTCTCTCTCTCCCTCTCCCTTCCTCTCTGAAATCAACAAAAAATATACATTTTTTAAATGAATCTGTAAGGAAAAGACTTGCATATAATGCATTCAAAAAAGTGCAGTCGTGCTAATTTGAAATTAGGGATGTGTTAGGTTGAGTTTTTTGTTTTCAGTCTGCCTGTTTTTCTTTTTTTCAAAACTCCCCCTGTAAGAAGGAACAATAGATCATGAGGACACCTGGTTTTAAGTCTGGCTTAAAATAACTGAGGGGGTCACAGAAAACTAAACAAGGGTCAACACCATAGCGCCATTATTTTTTAACTTCTGTTAGTTAAAATTATTTAACATTCATTAGGTTTTATTAGATTGTTGGATAGGGCTATCAGAATTCTCC